TCATAGCGGTTGCTGCACTATCTTCCACTGGCACTCAGACCATATCGTATTATATACAGTGTTGTGCATAATATTTGTTGAATCTAAGTAAATGCTCATGAAACTCACTTTTTAGAGGGTGGTGAAAAATGGCCGTACCAAACCTCTTTCCTTTTTGGAATGTCGTCGCTTTTAAATTTGTTATGTATATACATTCCAATAAAAATTATTATTATTATTATGTCTTACTTTTACTGCATTTGGAAATCTGCAAAGATTATCGATTGAATGCATGGCCTACTTTTTCCTTGAACAAAATATTCCATTGCAAAAAATGCTAAATGAGATCCTCGTTACAAACGATTCCTTTTATACGGTTTAGCAAAAGTGCATACGCCATCCAAAGCCCTTCGATAAGAAACTGTTTAGAAAGCGTCTTCATATATAGTCATAATAAGTTTGTTTATAAACAACAGCGGCTTTTGCATGTGAAGCTTAGTTAACAGCTCGTATCTTATACTTACAACCAACCACCAATCACTATAGTAATTATTCTAGAAACGTTATCCAGGATTGTGCCACCTAGTGGCTTCCGATATAATTGTAACTTCTGGTTTTATTGATACAAGTTGTTCAGGGGGTATTTTTTATTTGGACAATATTTTCATTAACACAGATGTGAAGTTTCAGTCTAAAATTGTTTATACACCTTTTTCTGACCATAAACACTCAATACCAATATCGATCATGAATCCAAATTCATTAGAGTGTTTTCTAACTTACATATAAGTAGTTTCCTACAAGATCTCAAATCAGCACCATGGAATGAAATTTATAGTAGTGTCAACGTAAACAAAAAGTGGGACATATTTCCTCAGATAATACAAAGCAGTTTCAATTGCTATTTTCTTCTGAAGATAAAAAAAACGAGCTGCGAAAAGTAAGAAACCTCCTTGGATTACCCCGGAATTGGATCGACTCAGGAACAGGGTGAGTGCTCTTCAAATGATTTCCCTAAACGACATAAAATATAAAGATGTCTTTACAATTTTTCGTTTCTGAAATCTGTACATGATTCGAAACGTTACTGCGGAAAATTAGTTACATAGATAATCGTTGAAAGGATTTGTGGAAATCATGTTATACGATTTTAATTTATTTCGGAAAGTCAAAAATTATATTTATCGTTCCGATATAATGAAAATGGCTTGAGCTATAAAGACAAAAGCAAATTTAAAAAACTATGGTTCAACGCTGTATCATTGCGGACTCGCCTATATAAACTGTCGAATTGGTACTTCATTTGCGCATTTTGCGGTTAGTGCAATCCTCAGGTAAAAGGGGTTTTCCAAAAACCCGTAATCTGAGAAACATTGAGCCGGTCATTAGAAATCGGTCAATCTGATATACAATCCCAACCCCTTTTCTTACAGGCCTTTTGAGGCTTTATAAGCTGATTGCCTTTGAGAGGACCTTCAGTTCAATTGTACTAGTCTTACTTGTCCAACATGCATCGTGTCTTGCTGTTAAATATTGTGCTTAGTGTTGTTCTGCAAGTGTTCATCGAGAAAGTGGCTGTTAGGAAAGGTAAATACATTTCTTCTATCTGTTTATACGTAGAAATTAATATTTTATCTCAATATGGTTACGAAGAAAATGCGTTACATATAATTGTGTTTTCATAGCGTTCATAAAGTACCAGTAAAGCATTTGTTGCGAAAAATATTTGCCTTTAACATACGTCTGCAAGCAAAAAAAATGCTGTTAATGTAGTGTAAAGTACGTCATAGCCAACAGCAGTTACTACTGACTTTATCTGTAGTGGCATTTTAAAATAGTTTGCACAGAAAAAATGCCACTTTCATTATGGACGGCATATTTTATATATCCGATCATATTAATGAACAGATGAATAGAGACTTGTCAATTCTGATTTCATAAACGTATCCAAACTGTGCTGTTGTTCATTTCGACGTCTGGTCTAGTATTTAAGACAAATTAATATCTGATAATTCCAAGGTCTACCTAGGAACTTATGTTTTCCTGAAATAACTAAGGTTTTGGCAACGCCCATGTATGACATATTATATGTTTTTCAAAATTAAAAACTTTATTCATCTGAGTATAAATCTCATATAGCGTTTATGAGGAGAAATAAAGTTGATGCTTAAGGAAAAGGGACGAAACATTATATTTTAGTTCTAATTATGTTATCTTGCAGAGAGATATGTGATTTATATAGCCCAGGCTCACATTTTCTTCCGTTTGACTTTCCTATCGGTATCTTTGCCACCCTTGAGCTTTGTACACCGTCCTTAAAGTACTGTTTTTTATATTTACAGAATATCCAGATCCCAGAGCCATGACCAAAAAAGAAAGCAGCAGTTCCAACCAGGAGATCAGTCGTCTTTTATCCATCCAGCCCCGTTCCAGCCAGAGGACTCTCTCCTGGAGACAAAGAAACACGAAACGAAGGAACGTCTCGCCCCGCATCTCTGGTATTAAGCAAAAGAAGCAGAAGCCCAATAAGACTCCAACTGCGATTCCTAGAGACATGGATCCCCCCAGGTCGTGCACCCCCACGATGCCCATAGTAAGTACCCTGTATAAATTTAACGTAAATGCTAAGGAGTTCGCACCGTGGTGCAAACGGATGTACGAAGCCTTGTTACAAAGGTACGTTCTCAGATACGACCAGATGATTTCTATGGGGTATCCTGTTCAGAGAATCGTTAATCGGAACGTTTTGATGATGTGGCACACCCCCAAGATGCCTTGGATGACTCCCCGGTATATCGTTAACGTAAACGTTGTTACCCAAGTATACTACAACCAATACTACGTACTTCCTATATCTAGCTTCTACTTCGAACGAACTTGTATACGATGTAGTAGACCGTTTTACACAACTGATAAGGAATACATCACAATGGAGAGTTGTTGCTACCACTGGGGCAAGTTGCAATACGGTGTACCTCTAGGCATAAGGAAAAGCTATGGATTAATGTATACGTGTTGCGGAGCGGAAAATGGAGCCATAGGTTGTACTGCAGCTAAGGTACACGTATGGAGCGGCGCCCGATATGGAGTTACCTCGTACCACGACAACCACGTGGTGACAAAAGAAATGAAAAATCCTCCAGCAGATGGTAACTACGGCGTGTACGCCCTGGACTGCGAAATGTGCTTTACAGTGCGTGGCCTAGAACTATCCAAAGTGACAGTGGTGGCCATCGATGGAAGAGTAGTGTATGATACGTACGTCCAGCCCGACTTTGAGATCGTTGACTACAACACTAGGTTCTCAGGCATCACCGCTAAAGACATGGAACACTCGCGAGTGAAAAAACTCCATGAAGTGCAAAACGATCTTTTGGGCTTCATACACTCGAACACTATACTGATCGGCCATGGTCTTGAGAATGATTTAAAAGCGTTGAGGATGGTGCATTACTACGTCGTGGACACCGCGTACACATTCCCGCATCACTATGGCCTTCCTTACCGAATGTCTCTCAAGAACCTAACCTCCATGATCTTAAATCGCCAGATCCAGGAGGATTGCCACGACAGTTACGAGGATGCTTGCGCGTGTATAGACTTGATATTGTGGAAGGTGAGGAAAGACAACTTAGGCACGTTTTAAATGCAAATAATGTATCTCTGTCGCACTTTCACTGAGGGAATACCTACTTAAATCCAAATTTAAAAAAGTACCACTTTAACATGTTTTTTAAAATTGTATTTGAGTGTATCACATTGGCAATGACAACTTTTCTCGATTTTTATTGTTTTCCAGTAACTTGTTTTTAGCTATAGTAATTTTCTAGTTCTTGTATACGTTTTTCTATTACAAACTTTATAAACTATTTATCTAGATGTATGCGAATCTGTGATATTTCGAATTATCATATTTTTACGACATTTTCTGTTACGTACACCAGACCCTTTTTGCCTATGTTGTATTATTTAATGAACTTTGTGTCCAATTTTTATTTGATCTTTTGTATAAAACTCGACAAAGAACTGAATAATAAAATCAGTGCAGCAGGCAAATATGCAAATGCATGGTACGATTATTATTTGTAATATACTATTAAGAATTAAGTAAAACATTTAATAATACTTACATGCCTTTTATTTGAGCACCCACGGATCAGTTTCTCTCCAAATCGTAAAGTGAAAGTTTTGGAAATTTCTACTGTAGCGTTAAATTTTATGGTAAATCGACGGGGAAATTCAACAAGGTCGATAGGAGAACAAATTATTAAAGTATGACTTGTTTTCTGTGACTAAAGCTCGGTACACGGTACACGGTTAAAAATGTAAAGTAAAAATGGCCCAGCAATATCAACTAAATCTTGGGAATACCTACATAAATCCAAATTTAAAAAAATAGCGTGTTAACATGTTTTTTAAAATTGTATTTGAGTGTTTCACAGTGGCAATGACAACTTTTTTTTATTGTTATTGTTTTCCAGGAACTTGTTTTTAGCCATACTACTTTTCTAGTTTTTGTATACGTACTTCTATTGTACACTTTATAAACTATTTATATACGTAGATGTATGCTAATCTGTGAGATTTCGAATTATTATATTTTTACATTTTCTGTTACGTACACCTGACCGTTTTAGCCTATGTTGTATTATTTAATGAACTTTGTGTCCAATTTTTATTTGATCTTTTTGTATAAAAGACGACAAAAAATTGAATAATAAAATCAGGGCAGCAGGCAAATATGCAAGTGCATGGTACGATTATTATTTGTAATATACTAGTAAGAATTAAATAAAACATTTAATAATACTTACATGCCTTTTATTTGAGCACCCTCGGATCAGTTTCTCTCCAAATCGTAAAGTGAAAGTTTTGGAAATTTCTATTGTGGCGTTAAATTTTATGGTGAATCGACGGGGAAATTCAACAAGGTCGATAGGAGAACAAATTATTAAAATATTACTAGTTTTCTGGGATTAAAACTGAATTACACAGTTACAGATGTAAAGTAAAAAGTGAAAATGAGACTACCAAAATGTAGCGCAAGGGTAAATTCCAGATTGCGTCAGTTCAAAGATGCACCTATTTGTTAGTATTTTATCGATTATTGAAACGTGCAGTACCAATGGCCCGGCTATATCAACAAAATCTTGGGAATACCTGCTCTGCAATGTGTATTATACACACACATATATATATATATATATATATATATATTATTGTGGAAAGAGGCTCCTAGAGAACATTCGGATTTGAGACCCATTAGTATATTGTGTGCCTTGTCAAAGATATTGGAAAAAATTGTTTATATGCAATTGGTAAAATATTTTGAAGAGTACAACATATTTCCAAATTGTCAGTCTGGTTTCCGTAGTGGTCACAGCACAACATCTGCATTATTACACGTAATTGATGAGATTATCTCTAACTTAGACAATCATATTTACACTGTGCTGGTGTTGTTAGATTTCTCAAAAGCATTTGATACGGTTAACCACGAAATGCTTCTTTCCAAATTAAAATACTACGGACTATCTGACGTTCCTCTTTGCTTTTTTAAATCATACTTAAATAATCGCAAGCAACGAATAAGAACAAGCCAAGGAGTTTCTCTTAGTGCCGATGTTGCTTCTGGTGTTCCTCAGGGTTCCGTGCTTGGTCCTTTACTATATTTAGTTTATACTTTTGACTTGCATACTGTATTACCGTTTTGTAGTATTCATACTTACGCAGACGATACACAATTGACCTTCACTTTTGACTCTACTAATGTGGATCAAGCTTCGTATAAAATAAATTTAGATCTGGTAAATATAACTGACTATTGCAAGGCTAACTGTTTGAAGCTCAATCCTACCAAGAGTTTTGCTGTGTTGTTCTGTCCCAAAACCAGCTATGAGCATTTTGAAAGGATGATTGATTTGAGGGTAAATAATGACCATATTTCACTCGTCACGCATGCAAAAACTCTAGGTGTTACTTTAGACGTAAATCTTAGATTTCATCACCACGTCAGTAATATATCTAAAGCTACATATACAAGCCTAAGACTCCTATACTCCAATCGTTCTATTCTCAATTTCAAGACTAGAAAGAAATTGGTGGAAAGTTTAGTTATGTCTAAGCTGCTTTACTGTTTTATACTGTTTTATCCTTGTCTTGACTCCATAACAAAAACCAGATTGCAGAAAATTCAAAATTGTTGTTGTCGTTTTGTTTTCGGCCTTCGTAGGTATAGCCATGTTACATCCAAGATCTGTGAGCTAGGGTGGCTGAAGCTCAATAAACTTTTCAAGTTTCATATGTTGGTTTTTGTACATAAAACAGTCGTTACCAAGAGACCTATTTACCTTGCAAATAAGTTAGTTCCGCGTAGGAATTTAATTTCAAGAAGGTTACGTCATGATGAACAGTTCAATATTCCTCTTCACTACACCTCATTATATCAGAGATCTTTCACGTATAATGCTGTTGAGCTTTACAATTCAGTCAGTGCGGCTAACAAACAAGAAAGTTTACTCTCTTTTAAGAAATCAGTTGGAAAACAGCTATTGGAGATGCAATCGTCTCTCAGTGTTTGAGTTGTTGGTTTGTTTTATTTTTATGACACTTTATTATTATTATTATTATATTAATAGTTCAAGTGTGCATTTGTTTCTTGTTCTTATTATTACTATTGTTTGTTTGTGTATCGAGTTTAACTGTGTTACTCTTTCGTACACAGTGAGGTTAAGTGTAAGAGTAGCCATTTGGCTAAACTTCGCCTCACTGATGTATGCTGATTAATAAAGACATTTATTATTATTATTATTATTATTATTATTATTATTATAAGAGTATGTGTATCAATACTCACAAATGCTCTTGGTTCAAGTGTAACTAGTTTAAATTGAGGATCGTGACCTTGATACTTCTTTGAACTACGCTCCATTTCATAATTGCAAAACCCATATTTCTTTAAAACAATGAAATTGCCTCATTTGAAGTACCTATGATCTCAAATCAATGTCATAATTTGATAGAAACTCGAGCATTCTTTTTTGTGTGTACATAAATATATCCCGTTTAGGAGCGTCAGTAAAGATGGGCAACCTCCTTGCAAAAAGCTAAAAATAGAGTACCTCTTATAATAATACATTGCCCTACGAACAAATTTTCAACAAAAATGAAAAAACGAAGGAAAGGAGGCAGTAGTATTGAACAACTGCCTTGCTAAATTGTCGTTTCAATCTACCGAAGTAAAGTAGAGCAAACGAATTACTACTTCATACCCCTAAACTGTGTATGTTGCAAAGTGAAAGACTGTATCGGATGACCAATTCATCGGTGGTGGTCAGAGCGGTCCGTGGGACCTTAGCTCTTGAGTCACAGTGTTAGTTTGTAAGTCTGTCAGGTCTGGTAACCCAGCAGCCAGACAATTTTAAGGAAATATCGGGTGATATGATGGTAAGTACAAAATGTTGTCGTGTGGTTTTACTACTCACCCCTACTGGCGGGGAAGTATTGCAAACGCGGAAATTCTCGACAACGAGTGATTATGATTTCTGGATGTCAATTGGCATGTACATCACGAAAAACCATGCCACTCATTCTCGTCGATCTGACTGTCTATAACCTGAGAAGTACCGCTCGGATTTCGATGAATTTTTACACAATCTTAGTACTATGTCAATGACGAAAAGATGCGTCGAGAAATAATACTAAAAAAAAACGTCGTACAAGTTACATATGTATCACATCAAAACTGATGAAAAGGTCTCGATCAGGAAGATTGATTAGGCAATAGGCAAATCTAGAAAAGTTGTAGGGGGATATTCTGATAGATTCAAAAAGTAATGACAATATTTTCGTAACAGAAGTTACATCAAAAATAGCAAAAGGCGGGTCTATTTATACAGAGAGCTTTCCTAAAACGTCCGATTGACAGGTGCAGAGTTTTATAAATGTGTATGCCACTGATGAGACTGGGTAAGGCCAAACCAGAATATTCTTCAAGTAACGCTACAGTGGGTCACGGTTACTGTTTTGATACATATACGGTTTTCAATGTCAAACTTCATTAACCGATGAGTCTTTTCAAATTGGAACTATTATATGTTTATATGTAGTACATTATGAAAAAATAGCCAATCAAACCGATTTAGGTCAAAAATCTATTCACTAAATGATGATTTCATGATCAATTTGTATGTATATATTTATTCTTTTTTTGCTTTTATTACCTTTCTGGTAAAAGAGGCTCTCAGGTATTATTCCTTATTAACTCTGCGCTAGAGAAGTAACTCTAGTATTATAAGTCACGGCAACTTTCATACGTCAAACCCTGCCTTTCGCCTAACAACATCGCCGGCAGGCGTATTACTGTTGGACCAGCGAAAGATTGCAAGCCGAAAGAATGCGGACAAAAAATTGCGAAGTTGTCAGATGTTCTACATAAAATGCGGTCCATACATATTAACATATTTAAGATATAGAATTGTTCCGCTGAATTTGGCAATGTAGCTGGAAAACCCAGGCCGCAGGTAAACATCCGGTCGCTGATTGGTCCAAAACTCTTATCTTATCTGAAACTAGAATAACGTGCCGATGGCACGGTCATTTATAAACCTACTCCCATAGGCGTAGGCAGTTGGCAAATACTTTGAAAATATAATTTACTGTTTAGTGGTGATAATGGAATTCAAGCATGGGAAAGTTATTCACAGCCAGGCAAGGGAAATAATAGCAAACGTGATACGTGCTTGCGATGCAGAAGCGGCTAACAATACTTTCGTTTATCCACTGGTAGCTAGAAATGCAAGGGCGGCATATTATACGGGTGTTAGTGAACGAACTATAAGTAAAATTAGAAAAGAAGATAAAGACAGGCAAAATGCAACCTCCACACAGCCTTTAGCTTCTCCCGGAAAAAAGAGATCACGCCCTTCTGTGATCCAAAAAATTGATGGAGTCGATTTTTCCATTATTCGGAGAATGATAGAAAAATTTTACTGTGATTTTAAAGTGGTACCTACTTGTAGTAAACTTCTAATCAAACTGAAGGAAGAAATGGAATTTCCATTTGGTAAAGAATCGTTGAGGCTGCTTTTAAAAGCAAAAGGATTTTACTGGCGTAAATGCCACAACAAAAGGAAATTACTAATGGAAAGACCCAGTATTTTACATTGGCGATACAAGTATCTTAGGTCTATTAAAAAGTTCCGGGAAGAAGGAAGGCATATTATTTATTTGGACGAAACTTGGGTTGATAATGACCTCACTTTCAAGAAATGCTGGCAAAGCGAAGAAATTATGGGTGTCCTGAGCAATATAAGTTCTACAGGTAATAAAGTTTCTTTCACCTCGATTTTGCTTATTATACATTTTTCTCAATTTTGGAATATTCTTAATAAGTGCTCATTTAATTTGTCTAATTGAATACATAATCCCTTGCAAGTATTTTTTTCTCAAAAATATGTTTTTTATACATAGTGATTCAAAAAGGTGTTGGCAAACTTAAAATAACACTAAAATGAGGCTATTTATTCATTTCCAGGACGACTTATAATTGTTCATGCGGGTTCGCAAGATGGTTTTGTTCCTGGAGCCTGTCTCATTTTCAAGGCTGGCTGTGCCACTGGTGATTATCACGGTCAAATGAACCAAGAAAATTTCACGAAGTGGCTTACTGAAAAACTATTTCCTAACATTCCTCCTAATAGTATTATAATAATGGATAATGCACCTTACCATTCAGCTTTGGAAGACAAGCCTCCAACTAGATCTTCTCTAAAAAGAGACATCATCACGTGGTTGAGCAAAAAAGGTATAGAGCATGATCCTAATGCTAAAAAAATGGAGCTTTATGAAATAGCTTGTCTACATAGGCCACCATCTGATGAGAAAAATTATAAGATAGATAATTTAATAAGAAGTTTCGGACACACCCCACTTCGAACGCCACCCTATATGTGTCAGTTTAATCCCATAGAGATGATTTGGGCACAAGTAAAATTTTTCATTAGAAGCCATAATACAAGCGGCGAATTTACTATAAAAAAACTAGATGAAATTTCTAATAAGGCCATCGCTTCAGTAAGTGCCAGTGACTGGCAAAAGGTTATTGGACATGTTATAAAAATTGAAGATGAATATTGGGAAAAAGACAGTCTCATTCAAGAAATACAGGAAGAAATAATAATCAACATAGGAGGTGAAAGTGATAGCAATGACAGTTCCTCAGACAGTGATCATGACTCTAATCAGGATTGAAACTATACTAGATTGGCTACCTTTTAGAATTTTTAGATATTCATTTATTATACTATTGGTTTGTGGCTTTTAGTATCTCAGTAGAAAGTCTAATTCTATGTGTTGTTTATGGGTTATTTCATCAAGAAATTACTTTTTGTTTTCCTATATTTTTCTATTCAGTCAGATATTTTTGACTTGTTGTATTCTATTTTAGAAGAATGCATAATTTGTTTTGCTGTTCAATCATAATGCGTACATAGGAATATTACTTGTTGCCTAAAAAATATATTTATTTTGTTCTCAATATTCAGTGTTTGTGTATATTTATTTCTTATAATGTATGTTTGGTATCACGTCATTATGAATCGCAAAAAAATATTAATACTACCAGTTGTAATAAAATATAAATTCAATTAATAATTCAAGTCTCTCCGATCTCCGCCTATGACTCCATATAAAATCGTCTAATGGTAAGGTTTTTTCATCGCATTTCCCCCTTTCGTCCCTAGCAATCTTTGGCTGGTCGATCTATAAATTATGTATGTATCGAAGGAAGATCCTAAACCAAAACAGTGATCATCGCGAGATTATTGAGTGATCAGTACACTAACATATTTCAAGAGTGAGGGAGCATAACTGTTATTGGGCAGAATAGGTCGACCCCTTACACAAAACCAATGACAAGCCAGAAGGTGGAGTGGGAGACGATACGACCGCGCATGCAGGCCGTCCCGGTGGCTGGCCGTACAGTACAGAGTTGGCATCAGATTTATGCTGGTATTACTGTGTGCTTATTAGATTTGTCAGTTTAATTTCGTAGAACTCAAAATGTCTGATACGGATACAGCTGATGAAGTTCTTGATATAAGCTGCACACCGCCTAAATAAGGGTTAAAAGGCGTTAGCGAAAAACAATTAGTTATCAACGTTTATAAATACGAAATGCAAGGAAGGACTGACTCAAGTTGGGGGAAGACATTTTGAACAATTGTTGTGATGATATCATGTACAAGAGGCAAACATTAAATGCATTAAATCCTATTTAGGCAATTGATCGTCTTTCTAAATTTTAACGCGTCTTAGGGCCGTAGTGACTTATTGACGCTTTTCCAGATATGGGTCCCTATACTCAAATGTTTTCTACTGTTACACTGAATAACCCCTAGAACATTGATTCCCAAAGTGGTCTAGGTCGACCCCTAGGGGTCTATAATAACCTACAAGAGGTCTACGTCAGCGAAAAAAAATTTGGGGGTCCATGAAATGAATATGGGGGTCCACGATAGTAAATCTCAACACATACACTGATAGTACCTATTTACTTACATCATACTATCTTATAATATCAAAACATATACATTATTTATAAAAGTACATATGAAGTAAAAAATTCATTATATATGTTTATAAAATTGTGTAAGTTGTAGGATGGTGGTATTCGCTTTGTGGTCGCAATACATTTTGAACTTGTAAAAACATAACAGTCGCAGTCTCAGAGCTTCGCTACCTTGCACTGACTTGTTCAATTCGTCACTCTATAAATACGAATGTGGGACAAATACGTTTATTCGTTTCCTGAATCTTGAAAAGGAAAGTGCTAAGAAAATATTTTAAAAAATATAAACAGGTAGTATATCACACAAATTATAGTGAGTCAGTGTTATTTTGTTTGAGAGTGCTGGAGAAAAGTAAGTACATTATTTTTTATTAAATTTTAGTTTTGTACTCGTAGTTAGCAAAGATAGATAAATTACGCCAATCATGACTTTAGTTATTAGTAGTTAAATATTCAATCATGCAAAACTACACGAGTACTCCTCAATAGTTTCTTTTTGAAAGTTTTAGCAATCGGTAATATAATTACAGTGCAATCTCCGTAATTCGAGCTAATTGTTGCAAGAAGACGTTCGAATTATGGAATGTTTTCGGAAAAATCAAAAAATATGTTTAATATACAGCTGCTGGATTTTCTGTCTTATTTAAATAATTTAATTTTGCCCACAGATGACTGATGCCATGTCCGAATCTAAAAAGAAATGTAGACAGCACAGTGTTGATTATTTGAAATTTGGCTTCATTCCATCATTGCCGAACAAACAATCGCCTATGTGCCTTTTATGCAACAAAGTTTTGGGCGATGACGCTATGAAACCATCTAAACTGCAAGATCATCTGAGAAGATGCCACCCTGATAAAACAGAGAAAGATTTGAAATACTTTCAAACACTCAAAGATAAATTTCAGAAGAGACCTACACTGGACAGAATGTTCGCTTCGACGTCACAAAGAAATGATGATGGTTTGCGGGCGTCTTACAATATCTCGTTACTTATAGCAGAATCCGGAAAACCGCATACTATCGGAGAGAAGTTAATTTTGCCAGCCGTTGAAGAGGTTTTAAAAACTGTTTTACACAAACCTGCATCTGATATCATTAAAAGAATTCCCTTAAGCAACAATACTGTTGAAAGACGTATTGATGAAATGAATTCTGATATTGACAGCTTCTTATGTACTTATTTGCAAACGACCCATTTCTCTATGCAACTGGACGAGTCAACTTTACCTGATAATGCAGCATTATTATTGGCATACGTTCGTTTTATTATGAATCAAGAAATCTACGAAGAACTGCTCTTCGCAAGAACTTTGATTACCGACACTAAAGCTGAATCAATATTTCATGATTTGAAGGATTACTTCATTGAAAAAGCAATTCCTTTATCAAATATAATATCAGTAGCTATAGATGCCATGGCTGGACGTTATCGTGGATTTATAAGCTATTTAAAACAAAATGTGTCAGGGGTGTTAGCAATACACTGCGTCATCCATCGACAACATTTAGTTGCTAAAAATTTGAGTGTTAGATTGCATGAATCACTTCATTTAGTCATTGATGCAGTAAACCGAATCCGAAGCAACGCGTTGAATACGCGGTTATTTGCGCAGTTGTGTGAAGAAAATGACGAACACTTTCATCAATTACTCCTTCACACTGAAGTACGCTGGCTGTCGAAAGGTTTATGTTTGACCAGATTTTTTGCACTTTTTGAGACTATTTTAGAATTTCTGGATACTAAAAATAAAACTTTAAAAGAAAATTTAATGAAGAGGAAAACAGACATCGCCTATTTAACAGATTTGTTTACAAAAATTTAATATGGTTAATTTGCAATTACAAGGCGACAGTTTAAATTTGATTAAAACAAAGTCCATCTTATCAGCGTTTCTTGTCAGAATTAAACTAATGAAACAAAATATTGGACGGGACGAATTTTCTCAGTTCCCCAATTTGTCACAGACAAGCTGCCACGAAGACGACGTTTCAACTTACGATCAACATTTAAATGCCCTCTATTCAGATTTTGAATCTAGGTTTGAGGATATTTTGACTACGGTAATACCACCGTGAACAATTAATCCATACGGTGACATATAAGAAATGAATGTCATAATACAAGAGGAACTCACTGAAGTAAGTACAAACGAAGAACTTAAGGTTCAGTTTAAAAACGGATATCAGCAATTCTGGCTGCAAAACAACATACCCGTTACTTATCCCGTATTATGGAATACAGCGAGGACATTTTTAATTTCCTTTCCATCGTCATACCTAATGGAAAGGGGGTTCAGCGCTGTTACCAATCTCCTAACGAAAAAAAGAAACAGACTGGACATCATTAGCCGAGGAGATTTAAGATAAACCCTTACAAAATTGACGCCAAATGTTGATAATTTATTATTAAACCATCAGGTTCATCCTTCTCACTAAAAATATCGACTTATTGCTTATGTTATTTTATTTATAGTTTATTTTATGTTTATTGGTATCTGACCAATAAATGCCCGCATTGGGAATAAGTGCCCGCATTGATTTTTTTAAAGAACCCCCTTTTATAGAAAATATTTTTTTTAAATTATTCTGAAAGTTCAAGGATAGGTACACAATAAAATTCGTTAATTTTTTGCCTATTTTTAGATAACTTAAACGTATAAGAAGCAGAGTTTAATCAAACTAACAGTGAAATTATTGTAGAACATACGTTTATGTTATAATTAATAAACGAACTCGCTTATTGTACTATTTTAAGTAAAATTTTTTTTTTTATTATTTTTCACTTTTTTTTTATTTTATCCCTCTTATTTTTTTTTCAATGCGGGTACTTATTCCCAATGCGGGCACTTATTGGTCAGACACCTGTTTATTTAATGTTACGTATATTTTACATACCAGATACAAAATTTTATTTTGAGTAGTTTTAATTTAAATTCAATTAATAAATGTATAAATGAACATGTGTTTTTACTTTAAGTTTTTTACACTAAACTTCACTACAGTTAGAAATTTACAGGAAATCAATATCAGGTAAGTAGGGGGTCTACCCAACACGGAAAAACATGGCAAGGGGTCTACGACACAAAAAATTTTGGGGAACTCTGCCCTAGAAGTTTGATCGCTTAGCTCTGAAACACCCTGTATTGGGCTTACGATTACTATTCTGATATAAATATAATTTTAAATGTTAAAATTCACTAACTGAAGTGTATTTTCAAAGTAGCACGTCCGTTTTGAGATAGTATTATGGTAAAGGTTTCAACATATCAGATATTCGTATGTGGAATGCATTGCCAGCGTTCAAAGCTCAATTCTTTTAAGCAATGTAGAATGGAATTTAAGTTTTTCGGGCTGTTGAGCCATGGTCGGGTTGGATTTGGTCCAAAGCTTTCGGCTACATCTGCGGTAGCCATCTTGGACCAAATCCAGCCCGACCACGGCTCAACAGCCCGAAAAACCAAAATTACATCAGAATTAGCAGTGAAAGCCTTCATTCTTCAATGTAGAATAGGTTATACATACTATCTATTTAAACACCTCTTATCTAAAATAGGTTTATCCATTAGCTTCACATTGTCGCATGTTACTGCGAATCAATATTAAGGGTACTTTTCGGTTTTTTAATTTTTATACGTAATTATATTTGCAAAAAATGGTGAATGTGCCGGATGTAGATCTGAGGGAAAAAATAAATATTATAGAGCGGTGTCATGTTGCTCGTCACCATAACCTTTACAAGGTCAGTTTCAAGGCAAGTTTATTTACTTATGCTTATAGTGAAATAGATCTGGCACGAGTTACTCGAGAATTCAGAAAACTCAATAGGACAGGTAGCTTCCAAAGCGCACAGGAAAGACGTGGTTGTTTCCTGGTCTTTGATTATGCTCTTTTAGAGCATCAAATTAAGATCTTTTAATTTGAATGGAAGGAAAAAGTACATTAGTGTGAACGTAACTTCATCTTATTGACAATCGATTTGTTAATAATTCAGTATGATATATTTGTTGCCTCACCGAACAAAAATGCCCAGGCGACCAAAGCAATCCTATGACTAGTTTCTGAGAAATAGGCAAACAAAGGTTACCTGATTGGAATAAAACGACTGTTGAACACCTCGTAGAATCAGTATACTAAATGAAGTATTTCGTTAAAACGCCTTGTAGGGAGGTGTTGGGAAGTGTCATGTTGATCGTGACCATGATCCTAAAAAGGTCAATTTCAGGGCAAGCTAATTTGCATATGTTTATGCTGGAATAGACCTGGCACGAGCTGTTCGAGAATACAGGTAGTTTTCCAAGGGCACAGTTTATGTTTTATTTTTAATGCATTTGGGAGTCTACAAAGGTTGAAAATATTTCATTGCAAAAAATGCTAAATCAGATCCCGATTACAAAGGATTCCTTTTGTATCGTCTACCGATAGTCCCTATACAACATGTAGTCCTTTGTTTCAAAACTTTTTAGAAAGTGTCGAGATTTATAGTCATGATAAGTTTGTGTACGACGAGGTAGCCAAATTTAACCGGAATAGAATTGCAGAGGGCGGAGCTTGTGTAGTACACATTTCTGCCCCTAGATCTGATTACCAGTTCAGAGCCACATGGCTTGTTTCGTTACTTTGTAATCATTCTTTTTGCTAGAGCTGCTTCGTGCTTGTTTCATTTTTTACGACGACATTGAAGACGTCAAGAAAAACACGAGGGAGGAGCTGTCAGACATTTCTAAGGAAGCCTTCAACAAATGTTTCGAGCAGCGGAAGCACCGGTGGGACAAGTGTATCAGTTGTAATGAACAGTATTTTGAACGAGATAAGGTTACTTTGTGAAAGAGTTGAAAATAAATAGCTTGTAAAAAATAATTCCGTTTTTTTTTTTTTGGGTACCTCCTCGTATAAGCAGCTGCAGTTTTAGCATAAGAAGCTTAGTTAACAGCTCCTATCTCATATTTTCAACCGACCACCAGTCGTTATAGTAATTATTTTAGAAACTGTATCCAGGATTGTGGCACCTAGTCTCATTATATTAGAACAAATTTCCCCTGGCTTCAGAAATAATTGTAATAGGTATTTGCTTTTATTGATGCATGTTGTTCAGCGGGGTATTTTACAAAAAAATGTTATAGACGCATCTTCTATCGCAGAGCAGTTAGTCACAAATACCAAAGTGTTTGAACTTGCTTGTAAGGAAAAAATGTAACCTTTTGTATTTTGCATAAAAGTCACGTTTTTATTCCGAAATAGTTTTTTATTCATCTAGGCGCGGTTCACTGGTATATTTTACTATGTAATGGTCTTTGAGCGAACCTCGTATATTGCTCAGAAAATTCGTAGTGATGGCCGGAAAACAGTTGTTTTGGGATAAACAATTAGAGATTCTCAAAAACTACCTGACCAATCAACATCAATTTTGTTGTGGCTATTGACAGGTATGAAACCTACAGATTTGAGGAGTTTCAAATGTCAACCAGCGCCAAAACCTGAATTTTATCTAGATTTTCGGATATAATTTTTTATGCTATTATTTCGATCTTAACATACGTAATCTGATTCGGTAGGTCTCATGAGTGCATAAAATTATTATATAAGGAGTATTTTCGTATCTGCCAATACTTCCGATTGAATCCCAAAAAATACATTTCCTCATTCTTTGTTGTTGAATACAAAGCTTTCCCACAAAAATTAGTGTACCCATTTTATGTGTCCATGTTTTGAAATACCCCCTGAACAACTGGCATCACTGAAAGCAAGCATTGCAATTATTTCGAGAAAAGCTTCTAATATATTTAGACTAAGGGCCAATTTCACCAACATTAATATTATGGACCAATGGGAAAATACCTTATCGAAATGCAATTTGACGAAAGCTGTCAAAGATCTCTGAATATTAGCGATTTCTATTGAAATATTGAATAAAATCGTGGAAATTCGACTGTATTATAAACAAGGCCACTTTTTGATTCCAACATGATGGTTTTGTACAGAAAAAACAGGACAACTTTTATGTATTTTGATATATGTTATAGGTTTACATTTAACAACTTTCTAGCTGTTAAATTTGGCAGCAGATTTGGACGTTTGTTAATGCATGGCACTCTTGAATTTACCAACTTCAATATACTGGAAGTTATCATTACATACCTGTTGAATAGTGTGGATTTGTCTGTATTTTGCAAGAAAATAGAGTATAAAATTTTTTCCATCCAATTCCTCATCTTCCTTTATGTAATAATAGTAATCATTTATTAATTTATGGGATAATGAATTTCTTCAAAGCTATAAAAACATTATGTCCTCTCCATCCTAAAACACAGATAACATGTGTAAGACGTGTCAATCCCTACATCTCCCTGATGCATAATGCAATTACTATGGACATAGACAAAAAATTATGAAAAATGTTTCACAGATAATGGCTGTTAAGTTCAAAAATCAAAAAACTAGTAATGTTTACTGTTTGTCTATTTGTTTTTTTTGACTGACGGGGATATCTATCTGACACTCGCAGGGTTGCCAAGTCTAACGACGATCACGTCCCGTGGTGGAGGGTGCGAAATGAATCTTTTACATTTGCTGGTATTGAATTTTTTTCGTGAAAATTTACTAGGCATCATGACTATAAGCATCTTTGGTAGATTGTTCGATCCGGAATGGGAAAGATCTCCTATTTATGAAAATATTTTTGGTATCATCTAACTGTTGCAATCAGTGCATAAACACTGTGACATATGATTTATAGCATAACCCGCTGCCCTATCAATACAAATTTAACATACAGGTCGCCTAGCCGTGGGGATGCAGTGGTCGGGATGAATATCACGGCAGCAACTGATGACTTGGGCATGTCTGGTAAGAACGTATGAAGTGAAACTCGCTAACTTCACAAATTTTGTAAAATTTCTTTGAAAATGATGAAAAATATGTCTGATTTGGCAGGGTAATGTCGCAGCCAAATGGCGGTCACTCTTTCTGACACAGTCCGGATCGAAAGATGACGATACTCGTGAAATGTATTGATAGTTCTAAATATAGGATCCTATCGAACATCCCTACTGTCAAGATGTATAACCCAAGGTACCGACGGAGCTGTTTTGCGGCGTCATGGAAATAATTTTAAATTTTCATTTGCATTTTTTCGAGTGTTGTGCAATGATTTTGGGAAAAATGTCACGAATAGTCTTATAAAGCATAGTAGAGTATATTTCAACAGTTGGCGGAACTTACTATACTGGGACCAGGAGGTTGAAACGGGAAATTAATGCACAATCTGGCAACCCTATCGCAACCTCACAAAATGGCCGCTGACAACCACACAAGTCACCGTGTTGTGATTGAATAGCATGGAATTAAACCTAGAGTATGTTTTGTGACTGGTACCAAGAGTTGACAGAGCGCACACATGTGTCACTCCTTGAAATGCAATAATCAGCTGTATTCAAATAACGTCTAATATAAATATAACCCAGAATATCTACTCAGTGAAAAAGAAAAATATTGCAAATTTTTAGTTTTCCTGCAGGTTTTAGGTTTGCTGGTAGCTCTACGACATATATTTGGGTATTTCTTAATCGCTAATATAGTGTGGATTTTTGTTAAGTTCATGAACAATGAAAAATTTTCAACTTTATGGATGTATGAATATTAAAAAACCAGAATGGTTTTGTGGGAATATCAATCTAAGGTGCCATAATGGTTCTGATGAACGGCAAGTAAATGAATGAATATTTGGAAACGAGCAATATCTTTTGGTAGAGCCTGTCATCAAATAGGTGCTTAATGGCTATCTGCAAGAGGTTTATTGGAAAAAACACCCAGTAGATGATCTTGAATCAGTAATATCGCATATCAATTGAAGAAAATAATATTATCATGAATAAAAAATCAACAATGGTAATTAAAACATAAATTTTATTCAAAAATCAAACATTTCTTTAAATTTTGACTGAATTATATGTAATTTCTTAATATTCAATAAGCTGGTGATGTTTCAATGACAAGATGTCATCTCATACTTTGACAATATTTTGTTTTCAACATTTCATAGCTATTGGTTGCTAAAATTTGTTGATTGGAACTTGAATCTCATTCGCTGTATTTGACGGACTGTTACCCTATAGGTGGAGAATAACGGACTGTTGTTGGTGAAATTGGCCCTTAACCTGCTATTGAGAAAGCTGATCTGGTGAAAAAAAAATTGGTGGTTACTTTTTTGAGGAATCTGCAAATGATTAGAAACGATCACACTGAAAATTAGTTATATAGATAATCGTTAAAAGGATTTGTACGAATCATGTTATAGGATTTTAATTTATTTCGGAAAGTCAAAAAATATATGTATCGTTCCGATGTAATAAAAAACGCTTGAGCTATCAAGAGAAAACAAATTTGAAAACCTTTACTTCAACACCCGGCATCATTGCGGACTACTCAGTATAACCTGTCGAATTCGTATTTGTTAATTTCATTACACACTTTGCGGTTAGTGCAATGCACAGGTAAAAAGGGTTTAGGTGAGTCATAAAACCGCGAACTACAAAACATTGAACCGGTCATTTGAAATCGGCCAATCGGACATCATATCCTAATCCCTTACTTTACAGGAGTATTGACCCTACATGAACAAACTTTATGGGAGAACTTTCAGTTGAACTGTACTAGTCGTACTTGTATGACATGCATCACGTCTTAGTGTTAAATATTGCGAGTGAGAAAGTTACTTCAAGGAAAGGTAAATACATTTCTTCTATTTAACTATTAATATGTACTAGCTAATACTTCTACTGACGTTATTTGTAATGGCATTTTAAAATAATTTGCACATTAACACTGCCACTTTTTGACCTCTACGGGGTGGCACAATTAGAATTTCAATACGCCATTTTGTCTTTAGTCCTCCAGCATCAACTTTGTTTCTCATTATGGGCGGTATATTGGATTTTTGCACAGATGAATATAGTTCTTAATTGTAATTCCAAACTGTGTTACTATGTTCAATTTGATTGAAAACAAATGACTATCTGATAATTCCAAGGCCTACCTAGAAACTTCCGTTTTCCTGGAATAACTAAGGTTTAACGACGTCCATGTACGACATATACATTTTTGACATTATAATAGTAACTATTCATCTGCGTAAAAATTTCATATAATAGTCTAATCATATTAGACGAAAACAGTCGTGGTTTGAGAAATATTTGTGGTCTGGTTTTATTGTTGCAAGTTGTTCAAACGGGTATTTGAAAATGGACGCATAAAATGAGTACACCAATTTTTGTGGGAAAACTTTTTATTTGGCAACAAAGAATGAGAAAACGTATTTTTTGGGATTCAATCGAAAGTGTTGACAGGAACAAAAAACCTTTTTATTCAAGATTCGTAGCTATTTATCAGACCTACAAAATGACACTACACTAAAAAGATCCGACTACAGCAAAAAAGGTATGACCGAGAAACGAGGCAAAATGCAGGTTTTGGCACTTGTTGGTAATGCGACGATGATTTCTCGCAGATATTTGAAATTTTTCAAATTCGTAGAATTCGTACTTCTAAATAACCACAACGAAATTGTACTAGATTGGTCAAGTAGTTTTTGAAAATTTCTAATTGTTTATCCCAAAACACCAGTTTTCTGGCCATCACTACTAGCAATATACAAGGTTAGTTCAAAGGGCATTTTATAGCAAATTACACTAGTTTACCTTGCTGATATAAATCACAGACCACTCCGGAAGATAAATGCTATTTTTATGCGAAAAAGGATGTGTTACGTCTTTTCTTCTAAACAAATTTGTGAATACAAGAGATGATAGACATATCCGTTTTGTCTTAAATTGTATATAGTAACGTATGTTTTTCGAATATCGTAACGCATTTGTTCAATTACTCACAAATGCAGAATGTTTGAATTTGTTTAGAATAAAAAAACATAACCTTTCGGAATGGTTTGCGATTAATATCGGTGAGGTGAACTAGTGTATTTTGCTATTAAATTCCCTTTGGACTAACCCTGTATATTGCTCAATAAGCTAGTAGTGATGGCTGGAGAACAGGTGTTTTGGGATAAACAATTAGAAATTCCCAAAAAAGTGCTTGACCAATATAATCCAATTTTGTTGTTGTTATTTAAAAGTAAGAAACCGACGGATTTGAATAATTTCAAGTGGTTGCGTGAAATTATCGCAACATTACCAAGTGCCAAGACCTGCATTTTGCATCATTTTTCGGCCATAGCATTTTTGTTATTAGTCGGACCTTTTTTAGTGTGGTCTCATATTGTGGGTCTCATAAATAGCTTCTTGTATAAAAAGGTTTTTCGTTCCTGTCGACACTTTCGATTGAATCCCAATTAAAACGTTTTCTCATTCTTTGTTGTCATATAAAAAGTTTTTCCACAAAAATTGGTGTACCCATTTTATGCGGTCATTTTTAAATACCTCCTTGAACAATTTGCACCAATGAAATCAGATCATAAATATTTCGCAGAGATGGCAATGTTACTGTGTAATTCATTTTAAAATTCCACTACAAATAAAATCAGAGAAAAATGAAAAGATTTCGGAAAAAGTCATATTTCTCTCTCTCTCTGGAAGTATCCACTTGGAATTTCTAAGCTTGTATTAGTTATCCTGAATACGGAACGTTGGCCTCATTCAAGCGACTTCGTATGCCTAATCGCTTTTGAGATAATAATGTTGACGGTCAAATTTGACTGAATACCCGGTAGATTCAGTCGTCTATTACACCAAAATTAATTATTAGGACGCTGTATTTATGTTATATCTTTCATTTCTTTAACTCTTATTTCTTGGAAGCGTCTCTTTCAATGTCCAAGAAAGTATAGGATATTCCATTTTAAAATAATGAAGGATCTTTTACAATTTCTCTAAGTACAGCCCTCCATATTTCATTACATATTTGGATAGATTATTTCAAGATCAAAGTTGGTTAATGAGTTAAGAGCGATTCAATGAACAAAAGGGTTAAATACTGACAGAATGCCAGTCAGCCATTTTCAAAAACAGTGATTTAATTATATCCTCATGCTCAAAAATCTGTTATCTCATTACCCCCCCCCTCTATTTAAAAACTATTCCAACATAGCGCCCCTGGTATTTTTTCCACCCTTGAGCTTTGTACACCGTTCTTAAAATACCGTTTTTTGTACTTTCAGAATATCGAGATCCCAGAGCCATGACCAAAGACGAAAGCAGCAGTTCCAACTACTGCTACCAGGAGATCAGTCGTCTTCTATCCGTCCAGCCCGGTTCCAGGCAGAGGTCTCTCCCTTGGAGACAAGGAAGAATGAAACGAAGGAACGTCCCGCCCCGCATGTCTGTTCTTAAGCAAATAAAGCAGACGCCATATAAGACTCCAACTCCGATTCTCAGAGCCATGGAGCCCACCAGGATGTGTACCCCCACGATGTCTATGGTAACTACCCTGTATAAATTTAACGTAAATGCTAAGGAGTTCGTACCGAGGTGCAAACGGTTGTTCGAAGCCTTGTTACAAAGGTACGTTCTCAAATACGACCAGATGATTTCTATGGGGTATCCTGTTCAGAGAATCGTTGATCGGAACGTTTTGATGATGTGGCATACCCCCAAGATGCCTTGGATGACTCCCCGGTATATCCTTAACGTTAACGCTGATACCCAAGTGTACTACAACCAATACTACGTATTTCCTACATCTGGCTTCTATTTCGAACGAACTTGTATCCGATGTAGTAAACCGTTCTACACAACTGATAAGGAATACATCACAAGGGAGAGTTGCTGCTACCACTGGGGCAAGTTGCAATACGGTGTACCTCTAGGCATAGGGAAAAGCTATGGATTAATGTATACGTGTTGCGGAGCGGAAAATGGAGCCATAGGTTGTACTGCAGCTGGGGTGCACGTATGGAGCGGAGCCCGATATGGAGTTAACTCGTACCACGACAACCACGTGGTGACAAAAGAAATGAAAAATCCTCCAGCAGATGGTAACTACGGCGTGTACGCCCTGGACTGCGAAATGTGCTTTACAGTGCGTGGCCTAGAACTAACCAAAGTGACAGTGGTGGCCATCGACGGAAGAGTAGTGTACGATACGTACGTCCAGCCCGACTTTGAGATCGTTGACTATAACACTAGGTTCTCAGGCATCACCGCTAAAGACATGGAACACTCGCAAGTGAAAAAACTCCATGAAGTGCAAAACGATCTTTTGGGCTTCATACACTCGAAAACTATACTGATCGGCCATGGTCTTGAGAATGATTTAAAAGCGCTGAGGATGGTGCATTACTACGTGGTGGACACCGCGTACACATTCCCGCATCACTATGGCCTTCCTTACCGAATGTCTCTCAAGAACCTAACCTCCATGATCTTAAATCGGCAGATCCAGGAGGATTGCCACGACAGTTACGAGGATGCCGCCGCGTGTATAGACTTGATATTATGGAAGGTCAGGAAAGACTTAGGGATGTTTTGAATGCAAATAATGTGTCCCTGTCGCACTTTCACTGAGGGAATACCTACTTAAATCCAAATTTAAAAAAGTACCGTGTTAACATGTTTTTTTTAAAATTGTATTTGAGTGTTTCACAGTGGAGTGACAAACTTTCTTGATAGTTATTGTCTTCCAGTAACTTGTTTTTAGCTGTACTACTTTTCTAGTTCTTGTACACGTACTTCTATTATACACTTTATAAGCTATTTATAAAGATGTATGCTAAACTGTGATATTTCGAATTATTATATTTTTACGACATTTTCTGTTACGTACACTAGAACCTTTTTGCCTTTGTTGTATTATTTTATGAACTTTGTGTCCAATTTTTATTTGATCTTTTGTAAAAAAGTCGACAAAGAACTGAATAATAAAATCAGTGCAGCAGGCAAATATGCAAATGCATGGTACGATTATTATTTGTAATATACTAGTAAGAATTAAATAAAACATTTAATAATAGTTGCATGACTTTTATTTGAGCACCCACGGATCAGTTTCTCTTCAAATCGTAAAGTGAAAGTTTTGGAAATTTCTATTGTGGCGATATATTTTATGGTGAATCGACGAGGAAATACAACAAGGCCGAGAGGAGAACAAATTATTAAAGTATGACTTGTTTTCGGTGACTAAAGCTCGGTAAACGGTACCCGGTTAAAAATATAAAGTACAAATGACCCAGCAATATCAACTAAATCTTGGGAATACAATGAGTAACTGTCGCACTTTCACTGAGGGAATACCTACTTAAATCCAAATTTAAAAAAATAACGTATTAACATGTTTTTTTAAAATTGTATTTTAGTGTTTCACAGTGGCAATGACAACTTTTCTTGATTGTTATTGTTTTCCAGTAACTTGTTTTTAGCTGTACTACTTTCATAGTTCTTGTATACGTACTTCTATTATACACTTTATAAACTATTTATATAGATGTATGCTAAACTGTGATATTTCGAATTATTATATTTTTACGACATTTTCTGTTTCGTACACCAGAACCGTTTTGCCTATGTTGTATCATTTTATGAACTTTGTGTCCAATTTTTATTTGATCTTTTGTATAAAAGTCGACAAAGAACTGAATAATAAAATCAGTGCAGCAGGCAAATATGCAAATGCATCGTACGATTATTATTTGTAATGTACTAGTAAGAATTAAATAAAACATTTAATAATAGTTGCATGACTTTTATTTGAGCACCCACGGATCAGTTTCTCTTCAAATCGTAAAGTGAAAGTTTTGGAAATTTCTATTGTGGCGATATATTTTATGGTGAATCGACGAGGAAATACAACGAGGTCGAGAGGAGAACAAATTATTAAAGTATGACTTGTTTTCGGTGACTAAAGCTCGGTAAACGGTACACGGTTAAAAATGTAAAGTAACAATGACCCAGCAATATCAACTAAATCTTGGGAATACAATGAGTAACTGTCGCACTTTCACTGAGGGAATACCTACTTAAATCCAAATTTAAAAAAATAACGTGTTAACATGTTTTTTAAAATTGTATTTGAGTGTTTCACAGTGGCAATGACAACTTTTCTTGATTGTTATTGTTTTCCAGTAACTTGTTTTTAGCTGTACTACTTTCATAGTTCTTGTATACGTACTTTTATTATACACTTTATAAACTATTTATATAGATGTATGCTAAACTGTGATATTTCGAATTATTATATTTTTACGACATTTTCTGTTTCGTACACCAGAACCGTTTTGCCTATGTTGTATTATTTTATGAACTTTGTGTCCAACTTTTATTTGATCTTTTGTATAAAAGTCGACAAAGAACTGAATAATAAAATCAGTGCAGCAGGCAAATATGCAAATGCATCGTACGATTATTATTTGTAATATACTAGTAAGAATTAAATAAAACATTTAATAATAGTTGCATGACTTTTATTTGAGCACCCTCGGATCAGTTTCTCTCCAAATCGTTAAGTGAAAGTTTTGGAAATTTCTATTGTGGCGTTAAATTTTATGGTGAATCGACGAGGAAATACAACAAGGTCGATAGGAGAACAAATTATTAAAATATTACTAGTTTTCTGGGATTAAAACTCAATTACACAGTTACAGATGTAAAGTAAAAAGTGAAAATGAGACTACCAAAATGTAGTGCAAGGGTAAATTCCAGATTGCGTCACTACACAGATGCACCTGTTAGTATTTTATCGATTATTGAAACGTGCAGTACCAATGGCCCGGCTATATCAACAAAATATTGGGAATACATGGTCTGCAATGTGTATTATACACATAAAGGTATGTGTATCAATACACACAAATGCTCTTGGTTCAAGTGTAACTATTTCAAATTGAGGATCGTGACCTTGATACTTCTTTGAACTACGCTCCATTTCAAAATTGCAAAACCTATATTTCTTTAAAACAATGAAATTACCTCATTTGAAGTACCTGTGATTTCAAATCAATGTCATAATGTGATAGAAACTCGTGCTCTTGCACCAAGAGCACTCTTTTTTGTATGTATCCCCGGGCAGTATAAATATATCCCGTATAGGAGCGTCATTAGATGCTTTAGAAAAAATGGGCAACCTCCTTGCAAAAAAGTAAAAATAGAGTACCTATAATAATAATAAAGGGCCCTACAAAGACTTTGCAACAAAAATAAAAAAAAAACGAAGGCAAGAAGGCAGTAGTATTGAACGACGGCCTTGCTAAATTTTCATTTCATTCGACTTAAGTAAAGTAGAGCAAAATAATTACTACTTCATACCCCTATACTATGTATGTTAAAAGACTCAAAAAGTAATGACAATATTTCTGTGACAAAAGTACATCTAAAAAGAGAAAAAACCGGTTCTATTTATTGAGACAGATATAATAAAATGTCCCATTGCCAGGTGCAGGGTCTTGTAAATTTGCCACTGATGAGGCTGGATAAGGCCAAATCAGACTATTCTTCAAATAACGCTATAGTGGGACACGATCATTGTTCTGATACACATACGGTCTCAATGTAAAACATTATTAATCGATGCGTATTTTCAAATTAGATCGAGTTGAAGCTTCATATTTATTTATTATTTATTTATTTATTTCCAACAGGTGAAACCCAATTAAAGGAAATGCTGAAAAAAATCACAATTAAAGAGACATGGTTCTTGGACTTAAATCTATAGTATCACACATTCTGAATAAGATTGGATGATCTATAGCAGTTAATAATCCATGCACAACTGTCACTTTAAATATCGCACGATTCAGTAACACTGTTCATGACGCAGCACATGAGATTAATTGGCGATTTTGTCATAACATTTGTACGGCCAGCTTGGATTTTACCTCAAATTATATAAAATTGAAAGCCTAAACACGTAAGAATGGATGTAAGGAATTCAGTGCCGTAGAAAAAAAAGCTTTTTACTTCCGATACCTACTGGCGAGGAAGTATTATTATTATTATTATTACTATTATGTCTTTTGAATGTTGTACATCATGAAAAACCATGTCACTCATTTCCGCCTGTCTGTCTCTCGACCTGTTTGTCTGTCTGACTTACCGTTAATCCTTGGCCCATCTATAACTTGGAAAGTAAAGGTCGGATTTTGATGAAATTCTTACACAACTAAACGACTATGCCAAGGACAAAACGGCTTTATAGCTTCTAAGCATCGGTCCAGTGGCGGCTGAGAAAAATATCAAAAACGCAAAAAATAAAATCTCTCAAACCCTGTTTTTTAACGTTTGGCATTCGATGTAACGGCGGTTTTCATACGTCATACCCTGCCTTGAGTCTGACAGCATCGCTGGCAGGCATATTATAGTATCGAGGCTTGCGCTTATGACGTGTCTGATCTGAGTGGTCCGGCAAGGTTGCCAGATGGTCAATATTTACGGTAGGAAAAAGCTAGCTTCATCGTTATGAAATGCAAGGACACTACGAAGTATGTATCTCCTAATTGCAAATGAGCGTGCTTGGTTCACTTGACAAATTTTTTTGTTTTACGTTTTTGTTGCTAGCACAAAGGGGCAAGCTTGGGCCGAACATAGTTCTTCAAGAACAGATGTCAGCGTCGCGTGGAAAGTGCAGAGTCAACGTACTTGACCCCATTTTTCGGTAGATTGCCAAATATCTAAACTCAAATTTGAAAATAGAGCCCTACAGTATGCTCCGAATCGGCATTGTATGTTCGGCTCACCTCGGAATTTTAAATCATGCTATATAAATCAAAATAGTAAGGGGCATGCTGCTGGCTGTCATTTTTGTGGTTAACTTTCTTAGATAATAACAATAACCGTAATCTTTATTTGCAGATACAAATGCTATACAGCTGCTGCAAACCGCTTGTGATAAAAATAGTGTCAACGAAACTAAAATAACGACAAAATCTTGCACTAGAGCATATTATTCAAATCTGACTTGAAAAATTCATCTATTTAGAGGTCTAGATATAGTAATAATAATATTTATTCACTCAATGTACAAAGACAACAAACAATATGACTAAATAAATATAAAATCAAAACAGGCCCATAGAAGGCATCGCCTGTACATGGACCAATAATTTTAAGTTGCAACTGTAGAATGCAAATGACAAAAAAGGTCAAAAATTAGCTGCAGTAGATTATGTATTTACTTGATCTTCGTATTTATGAGTTAATGAATTTCAGTCCTAGATATAGAATGTAGCCACTTTATCAAATTTCTTTTGAAACACTTTCCGAAACGTAAATCTTTTAAGTCTTTGGGTATAATTTCATAAAATTTAGGCGCTAGATAGAGATATGATCGCTGCATTATAGATTTATGCGGCTGAGGAACTACTGTGCCACGAATTTTGTACCTTGTATAATGATTATGTTTAATTTTCTGGTCGGTGTTTACAAATTTATGATAGTGAGTGATACTGTGTAAGAGATAAAGCTGTCTTATACCATATATTCGAACATCTGCGTATAATTTGTCGGTGGGATAAAGTTTCGGTTTTTTAAATATCATTTTTA